TGTCGAACTGAGTAAAACGACGTTCATGTCCTTTTTATCGTTCACACTCCGCAGTGGTATATACATGCTGATAATTTAGATCAAAGTGCTCGTTGTATTCCTTTGTTCTGTATGTACGTTCGGTTCTCTTTTTTTTTTTATATATTTTGAACCGTTTTAAGTAATATATTGTTGAAAAAAAAAATCTCCATTTATACATTACAAAAAATAATAACACTAAATAAAACACTTAAAAATTGATATTAAATCATTGGTTTGATGTAATACAATATTAAAAGAAGTTATATTACAAATTTGTTAGTATTAGTTCAAACTACTAAAATTGATTCACTCGTACAAAATTGAATGATTCAATCATTAGTAGTACTTTTTCCGGCTAGAAATTCCATTAATTTCAAATCGAGTTTACAAAGTCAATTTACAGAACTTTCAGAAAACAAATTATTATGTAAGCAGATATATGCGTCATATTCTGAAAAAGATACACCAAAAGAAGTGAATTTGAAATGGTTTCCGTAGATAAGCTTTACTTACTAACAGATAAATGAAACCGCTATTTTTTTTTTTCATATTCGATCTTTGCTCTAATGCGAGTTATGTGTATGGATAGCATTTCTTGGCCAAAACTCAATTGAAGATCCAAATGACGTCTCGACACCATATGGTGGGAGAACAAATGACACTAAAACGCTTTTGGTAAATCTCCATCTTGCACAAATCAGTTGATAGATCCACAACTGCAACATCACAACTTTTCCATCTCTCCCACATTTTTTTTCTTAATTTATTCCCCATAAATAAGACGAATAAAGGAAATATTACTCCAAATTCAAATTTGGAACTTTTGAAGGCTACTTAACAAACAACGATTGTTAGAATCAATCCAAGCAATCAAAACATGCAATCTGCAACATCGGAGGCCAAAATTGTCTCCGAAAAAAGAACACTCTACGGGGAGAGAAGACACGCTTACAAAAAACCGACATAAATAGGATGAGAACGGTTGCATAGTGAATCGTCACCATTATCACCAAATACAGATCTTCTTTGAACGGATGGTGATGAGGCAAGACATGGTGTAAAGTGAGAACATCCTCACACTACGAACGTCTACGGCTCTTGCAAATCCTCGTTGATGTCTCTTTAAAAATCTTAGAGATTTGGGACAAAATTCTAAAATTTATTAACTTATATAGAATTAAGAGAAACTAAGAAGAGATTAACGTGAAAGTAAATTGAATCATTTGTAGTACTTATGTATTAGTTCAAAGGGTT